AAAAAAAAAAAAAAAAAAAAAAAACCATGCTTCAACATCTCCCTTCCTCTCTCCTTGTGTCCCTCCCTTTCTTTAACCAGGAGTGAATGTTCTCTCTTTGGATCCCTATCATATCACATGACTCTCAGTGTGGCCACAGAGTGACTCTAATGAATAAACAGGCAGAGACTCTTGGTCCCAGAGGTGGTGTGGGGACTGCCCTGGTCTGGTGGGAGGTTGGCCACGTGGGCTCACCCACAGCATACTCACGTGTTCTCTCTTTGGATCCCTATCATATCACATGACTCTCAGTGTGGCCAAAGAGTGACCCTAATGAATAAACAGGCAGAGACTCTTGGTCCCAGAGGCGGTGTGGGGCCTGCCCTGGTCTGGCGGGAGGCTGGCCACGTGGGCTCACCCACAGCATACTCACGTGTTGCAGTATCGGAACACGCCCCTGATATCCACTTCCCGGAGGGCTGCGTCCAAAAGGGGTACAGTGTTCATCTCAGAGCCCAGCCCGACGAGCACCACGGTCCCACCAGAAGCAGTGGCCTGAAGAAGTCAGAACAAGAAAACTCAAAAGATAGAAACACACAGACTTCTCACTTACAATAGCACACTGTTGTCACACAGATGTCTTCTAGTTCCATCTATTGAGTATCCAAAACTCCAGAGAATAGGAATCTTGCTGTACCGCTGAGGGCATCAACAGGTCAACCAAACCCACCAGAGCAGCAGAGTAAACATTACTTTCTTTAAAGATCCTGAAATAGGCCAGGCACAGTGGCTCACACCTGTAATCCTAGCACCTTGGGAAGCTGAGGTGGGGGGATGGCTCAAGGTCAGGAGTTCGAAACCAGCCTGAGCAAGAGTGAGACCCTCATCTCTACTATAAATAGAAAGAAATTAATTGGTCAACTAAAAATATATAGAAAAAATTAGCTGGGAATGGTGGCACTGCCTGTAGTCCCAGCTACTCGGGAGGCTGAGGCAGGAGGATCGCTTGAGCCCAGAAGTTTGAGGTTGCTGTGAGCTAGGCTGATGCCACGGCACTCACACTAGTATGGGCAAAAAAGCAAGCCTCTATCTCAAAAAAAAAATAAAATAAAATAAAATAAATAAATTCAGTACCAGATACTGGCCTCAGCCACTTCCGCGTCTCAGCACCTGCTCCTCCCCCAGAGCGCAGCTCGGCAAGGCACGACCTTCACCCACCTCTGAGGAGCCACCCTCTTAGCTCACCGTTGGAGAAAACTAGCAGACGCCATACAAATGGGGAGGGCCACTGGAAGTCTGTGGTTTAAAAATGGCTTTTTATGTGCAGGTGGGCAGCTAGAAATATTTCTGTTCCACAGATGTTCATCCCAATCATAATGGATTTTGTCTTCCTGGAATGTTTATGTGCCTTGTTGCTTCCCTCAGGGGTGGCGGTGATATTTCTCCTATGATTTCCACATAATCCCACGTGAATGCTGTCCCTGCTCCAGAGCTTTCTGGGTATCACTGTGCTCAAAGTCATGAGAGACAGAAACATGGGTGATTCGTCCATGCTGTTTTCAGTATAGTCAGCAGCAGCAGCAACCACTTATGGGGAATATTCCAAGAGCTAAACGGTGGGGCTGTGAAAAGGCACCGGTCACAGCCCCCTCTCTGGGAGGAAGCATACGCCGTAGGGAGAGCCCTGCAGTGCAAGGCAAAGAGGCAAAACTTGGGGCATGGGTAGTGTGGGGGACTCGCTCCATTGCTCCTTTTGAACTGTGGTGCCCGGGTCTTGCCCTCTCTGCCAGTTTTCTAGGGGCACCGTTTCCCCACTCGCACTCCCTCTCTACCTGGGGAGGAGGAGGAACACCACCAACTGGACATCCTGAGCTGCCAGGAGGCCAGCAGTTTGCTGACCACGGCCACGGAATGGTCAGGCTACCTGGCCATCATCCTGTGGGTGTGGCCTCCCTACCAAGGAGATGACATCAATTTGGGCCCAAGGCAACAGCCATGTCTCCATGTAAACACTATCCTTTCATTACCTGGGCCAAAGGTGATGCTCAGATATGCCCATATTTGGTGCTTCTGCCTGACCTGCCCGTTGTTGGCCTGTAGCATTCTACAGCACCTATCATGCATGAATTCTCCACTCCCCACGTCAGGAGAGATGCTACTTCAGGCCTGGTGAGGCCCTTGGGTCACATTCACCTCCACACCCAGCTCCAGTACCTGGCAACTGAGCCCCAATTGTCAACAGCTGGAGATGACAACTGATCCAAATGCTCGAAGGGAAGGGCAGAAGAGGAAGGAAAATATGTCCTTTAAGTCCTTCGCCTTATACTGCCTCTCTGTGGAATGGAGGTCACTGACCTACCAACCAACAACTTGAAAGAAGCAGGCACACCTCACTCATTGTTGCCACAGCCCTCAGAGTGCCCAGTACAGAGCCTGGCACACTGCGGGTGTCCATGACGTGGCATGGGTAAATAGATCACACACAGATCCACCATGCCTCTCTCAGTTTTGGGTTCTCCTCGCCCCTTCCCACATGGTGGCCACTGTCTGTGACTCCAGCTGAAACTCAGGACAGGGCCAAAGTGTCACCTGCTCCCCAAAGTCTACCACTTCCTCAGCCCCTAGCGCCACTGGACACCTTGGTAGGAGGAGGTCAGGCAGCCCTGAGGGTGCCAGGCCTGAGGGTGTGCCACACAGCTCGAGGGCTAGCGTGCCCGGATGGCCTTGAGTACTGCGGAGTGTCCTCGAGCATGAGCCAGCTGTGACTCAGAAGGAAGGAGGAAGCCCAGGCTGCTGTGGGATGCTGCCTGGGAGGCAGGGGTGGGAGTCCCCTGTGGTGGCAGCTGCCTGCTCCCCACCCCTGCCCAGCCCTTCCCACCCTTGCACAGCTGTGGCTGGGGCTCAACTCCTAAGCAGACAGTTGGGGAAGCTCAGGCCCTGGGGCCAGGCAGGGCTGGCCTGAGCCCAACCCCACTTATGGCGGTTTGCTGGAGGCAGAGGTTAAGGTCATGGTGACTTGCCTCAAGCAAACCACAACTCTCCTGGTGTAAAATGATAACTGATTTTCAGAGCTATTGTGCAGATTAGGCATCATGTTTACAAAGTGCCCAGCAGAGCACCTGACATACAGTAGGGCTCAGAACCTACAAGTTATGCTTTTCCCCCTCTTTTCCTCATACTTTGACCTGTCAATGCCACTCCTCCTCCCACCCGTAACTCCCTGCCAACTTCCCATAAGTCGCTGGTGGGCAGCTGGGGAGCAAATCAGGCACTGGCAGCCCTACCCCAAGCTCTGGGAGGGAGCACAGCAGTAGCCAGCCGTGACCCTGAAAAATCACCTCACCTTTGAGACTAACTAAATCCATAGCTGTCATTTTGCATTGTGACTCAAAGACCCCAGCTTTCCCTAATAAAAGAGGGGATTTCCCCCCATTCAAGGGAGGCGTGGTTACCAGTTCTTCCTGTTGTCTTACCAAAAGCATTACACTTTTATGATTGCAGATACAATCATGAAAGCAATCCCACCCCAACGGTGTGGGCCACTTAGCATTTTTCAAGGCCCATGTATATTTGTCATCTTCTTTGAACATCAAGATAACCCAATGAAGACGTGAGGTACACAAGAGATAAGAGAACAGGGAGCCAAGAGAAGGATCAATTCTGCTGGAGGGGCAGTTGTGCACAGCAGGCAGTGGAAAGGCTTGATCGGGGAACTCCTTACTTCTGCCCTGTCCACTCCCCTCCTCCGGTTCCCCAAAGCTGCCCGTGTCCCACTCACGTAGATGCCAGTCTGGATGCAGGCTTCTGCCCCGGTGCACTCAATGGTGACATCCGGCTGGCACCCCAGCAGACCTTCCACTTTCCTGGCCACCTCCTTAGGGGTTTCCTTGGTGACCTGGAGGACTAAATCAGCCCCGACTTCCTTGGCTTTGGACAATCGAGAAGACGACAGATCTAAAGGTGAAAAGAAGTTTCTTTCAAACCAAGAAACCGGTGACAGATTAGGAAGAAGGTAAAATGGGGGTGCAAGGTCTGATGGCAACAAAGCTCTGGTGCACTGAGTGGTGTTGGTGAGTCCAACACACATGTGCTCACGCCCTCACATACTGCCATACATACCACACAGGTGCAACACACACACACACACACATGGTCACAGGTAACGACTCCTCATGAAACACACACTCATACCTTCTACACACCGCACGACACTCCTCACCTCGCACTTCTCACAGACAAGCTCTCTTGACACGTACACTCTCACGTCCCTTTCGTGTCTCCCGCCCCTACCACACCACACCCACCTTCATCCATATCACACCCACCACCACCTCCACAGGGGCTGAGCCCCGTCTTAGGACCAGGGGGCAGTATGGGCACCTGAGGACCACCCAAAAAGAGCCACAGCCTCTTCGCCATAGCAGCCAGCCCCACCCGTCACAAAAGACCCTCATCCTGAGCCCTGAGTTGGTCATCCCCAGGTGGGCTTTCCAATCCTGGGACCCAAGAGGGAGGAGGAGGAGCCCCTTTAGAAATCCAGTACCTCATGCCCCTGACCCGAACTGTAGGTCCTGCTGTTTCCCCCAGAAAGGAGATTTTAAAAGAAGAAAACCTTCTTACCAGTCATCACTACTTGAGCTGCTCCCATTGCTTTGGCCACAAGCAAACTGACCAGCCCTATTGGCCCTAAAGAAAACAGAACATGGGAAATCTTGTGAAATTCTTGTGAAATCTTGGGAATCTTTGTGAAATCTTAATCATCAGCTCTCCCCCTTCTCCAGGATGCAGATGGGAACTGTATCTTCCGTATGTCACTAGCATCTATCCCAGTGCCTGGCACATGAAAAGACCTTAACAACTAGGCCAGGTGTGGTGGCTCTCGCCTGTAATCATAACACTCTGGGAGGCGGAGGCGGACTGATTGTTTGAGCTCAGGAGTTTGAGACCAGCCTGAGCAAGAGTGAGACCTTGTCTCTACTAAAAAAATAGAAAGAAATTGGCTGGACAGCTAAAAATATACATATAAAAAATTAGCTGGGCATGGTGGTGCATGCCTGTAGCCCAGCTACTTGGGAGCTGAGGCAGATGGATTGCTTGAGCCCAGGATTTTGAGGTTGCTGTGAGCTAGGCTAATGCCATAGCACTCTAGCCCAGGCAACATAGTGAGACTCTGTCTGAAAAAAACAAAACAAAACAAAACTTTAACAACTGTTCATTGCATGCATAAGACAATGAATGCATGAGGAATTGCTCTCTACATGAAATATGCTCCTACTGCTGGGTTTTATTTAATCTTCTCAAACCTCAGAGCTAGAAATTTTCCACTTACTCTTGGGCACTGCTTGGAGATAATCTCAAAGAACCACAGGATTCAAGGAAACATACTTATTCAGAGAATAAGAAACCTCAGAGGGTCTGGCCTCATTTTCCTGTTTTCTCTTTGAACCCCACTTTAGTGAGAACCTGTCATACCTTCCCAAGGAGAGACATATCTTTCCTGGGTGCCCTCTGAGGATCACCCTGGAGGGTGTCCTTAAGAGAGCTGGCCCCTTGGGTTGACTTGGCTGCTCAGGCAGCTCCGGGATACCCAGGTGTCCAAGAATTAGCCTGAGAACAGCTGCTTCCCCACAGCATCTATGTGCTCGGTGACACTATGGTCTTAACATACAACACAGACCCACAAAATGAAGCAATGCAGAATATATTTAGGGATTTGTTTTTTGTACACACCCCTGGAAAACAATTTTGTATGTTCCCCCAGAAAACAACACACTGGAAAATAATACTTCAAATGTCCAAAAAGGGTGATTAGTTGAACAAACTACAGTGGAATACCACACAGTTATTAAAAATTATGCCATAACTCTTTTATCTATCGGCATGAAGAAATTCTCATAGTATATTGATCTTTTTTAAAGAGTAGGTAGAAGGAAGCAAATTTAGCATGGTCTCATTAAAAAAAAAAAAAAAAAACTAAAGGATTCTATACTTTTTTTTTGAGACAAGGTCTCGCTGTGTTGCCTGGGCTGGAGTGCAGTGACGCAATCACAGTTCCCTGCAACTTCAAACTCCTGGGCTCAAGTGATCCTCCTGCCTCAGCCTCCCAAGTAGCTGGGACTACAGGCACGTGCCACAACACCCAGCTAATTTTTTTAATGCTTTATAGAAATGGGGTCTGGCTATGTTGTCCAGGTTGGTCTTAATCCCCTGGACTCAAACAATCCTTCTGCCTCTGCCTCCCAAAGTGCTCGGATTACAGGTGTGAGTCACTGCTCCTGGCTCTGAACCAAAATATTAAAATATTAACAGTAGTTTTCTCAGGTTAATGGGTAGTATGTGTCTGTGTGCATGTATGCGCGCACATGCACGTGTATGGTATGTATGACCTATTTTCCTTTTCTACGGCAAAAAGGTACTACCTAGGCATGAGCTGTTTAAAACGCCTCTCGCACCGCTGAATCCTGCAGTCGCTGGCTCACTCTTGACGCAAGTCCTACTCCATGATCCTGCCTCAGGAAGCCCTGCGCCAGTGTACTTGCAGAAATCATTCACAAAACATATACGGAACATGGATCACACCACAGGAATGTGTGAGCACTGTCTGGGTCACAAGCCATTCCACGCCTACGCATGATTCCAGTCTGGGCGCTACCATGCCATCCACGGCACACCAAACAGCAGAAGTGCAGCCCAGCCAACTCCCACTGCAGCACAGTGACCGGCTCATACGGTGGTGTCTGACCCCCACCCTACCCACTGACGAGGAAGCGCCACCCGTCCTCATGCGATGGACTACGGCCCATTTACCTTCATTGATCACTGATCAGCAAAGCTCAACAAGCGAGTTGGCATCCCCTTCTACTACCAACAATATTTCCCCTAGTTTCTTACAAGGGTTAACATCTTACAACAAAAAACAATCACAAGATTCCAATGTCTTTAAAATAAACAAAAGGGTTTCATACTCGCTTGAATATAATCGTTAGCTCACTATCATGTCCAATATTCGTGTATTTACGCTACCAGTGCTGGTGTACTCAGGGAATGGGACATTGACACTCCTCCCATACCACCCCGTCGGCCCAGAGATCTCCTATGAACGAACACCTACCCATGGAGGGGGAATCGTGATGGGCAGAGGGTCCCCAGGTATTCCCAGTCAACGATCCCCATCTAACGCAGAGATGTTGTGCTGTTTCTTACCATCATTCCGCACACCAAGGACCTGTTCCCAAGGTGACTCCGCTCCCGCCTGCATCGCCATGGGATCCCACATGCAGTGGCTCAACCACGGGCCCCCCTCCCTCACAAGTGGCACAACTTGTCTGCAGAGTCCTTCCAATCAACACCAGTTAGAGCCTCTACAGTTAAACCATACCTCCTGACGAATACTATTATATTGTTATGCCCCCCATGCTGACTACTTAATGATAGCAAAACATTTACTGGCATCATTATGTGCAGGGCAATGTGCCTACAGCAGACTCTCATACCATACATTCATCTTCTTAAAATTTTTGTTTGTTCTGCTTTGAGACCAGAGTTCTCACTTTAGTTGCCCATGCCGCGTCGAGTGATACCCCGCGCGGCGGGCGTCTCACACTAGCTCCACACAAACCTCAGACTCCTGGCTTACAGCATTCTCTGCCTCACGCCTTCCGCAATACTAGGACTTACAGCACTGGCGCACCGATTGGCCACGCCTAGCATTTTCCTAATATAACTCCTTTAGTTGGCCAATTAATTTCTTTCCGGATTGTAGAGAACAGAGGTCTCTCTTTGCTCAGGCTTTTTTGAAGCTCCTGACCTCGAGCAACTCTCCTGTCCTCAGCTCTCCAGGAGCTGCTAGGATTACAGGCCTGAGCCACCGTGCCGGGCCCATTGGGTGTTACTACTGTAGAGGACACTATTGTTATAGATCCCCTCTCTGGTGGCTGCAATGAACACCAATAATAGAGGACTAACCATGGTGATGTCTCTCTCCAGGATTGCTGGAAAGGGTGGGTGATTTCAGCAGCAACTTTCTATGGTTGCTGTAGGTGAGGTAAAGTGAGACTGAAAGACCAAAATCAACCCCTGTGAGTCAGTCTTATTCCTAGTGAGGTGAGGACTGAACTCTGATCTTTTTCTTTTGATAAAAACTCTTTCCTAAGGAGGCCAGCTGGGTCAGGCTGACAAATGGTAAATTCCTACTAAGTGGCTTTTGTTAACCAAATAAAGCGGTGGTTTACTTCCCAACCTGATTCTGGTATGGCATTAACATTACCTAAAAGATAGGAAGCCCCTGTCTTAACTCAAGCATCCTAGCAGATGCCTATCATAAATTTAAAATATCTTAACTCAAGCATCCTAGCAGATGCCTATCATAAATTTAAAATATCTTAACTCAAGCATCCTAGCAGGCGCCTATTGTAAATTTAAAATGTCCTCCTGTCTGGACCTCCCAGAGTGCTCATACCCTTATCTTAAAGTAAGCATATCCTTTCTGGTCTAAATAAAGTCTAACTCTCTCAGCCAATTGCGAGCCAAAGAATCTTTAAACCCACCTAGAACCTGTAAGCTCTTGCTTCGAAATGTCCCACCTTTTTGGGCCAAACCAATGTATGCCTCTCATGTATTGATTTGTGACTTTGCCTGTAACCCCTGTCTCTCTGAAAATGTATAAAACTGAACTGTAACCCAGCCACAGCGAGTCCACTTGCCCAAAGCCTCTTGGCATTGGTTCCGGGTAATGGTCCTCAAATTTGGCTCACAATAAATCTCTTTAAAATTATTTTACAGAGTTTGGCTTTTTTCCGTCGACAGAGGCTACCCTCCATCAATGCCACCAAGAAGGACAGCCGGCCAGGGGGATGCCTTGAGTTTAGAATGACCAGCTAAAAAGACTCATGAAATCACCATGGGAAATTAGAAGAAAGTTCCCCAACCAAACAGAGGGACAGAGGTCCCAGGTGGCACAGCCATGGGTACTAACTTGTAGCAAAAGTCTGCATTGTGCTTGTAGAACCTGCAGAGGTTCCCATCATCAGGGGGTGTAGCAGAGAAGAAGATGGTGGGTGATAGATTGTACCGGCCAATCTTGCAGAATTCATCGGTTTCTCGGGTAGCCCCAGGCTCAATGGCAACTCGATCACCTGGAGCAGGGGGAAAAAACAAAGTGCTATGTCTGAGGAGGGAGCAGAGTCTGCCGCCTCCTTGGCCTGATGATCCTGGTTCTTTGTTTTCCAGCCTTTGAAAACAAGAGCAGAGGCAAAGATGTTGTGAAGGCATGCAAGCTCACGGACATGCCACATGGGAGAATCTAGCAGCTAGATTCTAGCCCAATGAGCCATCCTCCTTCCTGGGGACTCAGGATGTCCCAGGCAAGCAGGAAAGCAAAAGAAGCAGCATAGACTCACACTCTGGGAGAAAAGGACCAGCCCACTTCTCCACAGCCACGTTTGGACTGCCCTTTTGCCAACTGAGTGACAAGCCAGCCCACCCCTCCAGCTCCAGTCATTTCCCAGCTTGCGAAACACAGAACCAGTCCCCTCTTGAAGACAAGCCAGCTCCACTTCCTATCTCACACTGCTGCAAAAGAGGGAGTTCGTGCACAGAGTTTGCAGACATTTTTCCTTCACCTGTTTTAAAAATATGGGGCAAGGCCCTTACAAAAACAAGAGCTATGGCTGGGTGTAGTGGCTCATGCCTGTAATCCTGGCACTCTGGGAGGCCGAGGCAGGAGGATCTCTTGAGCTCAGGAGTTCAAGACCAACCTAAGCAAGAGGTAGAACCTGTATCTAAAAATAGAAAAATTAGCTGGGCTTCTCGGCCTGCTGCAGTACCAGCTCCTTTGGAAGCTGA